TGCTGCTGCCGCCGCCGGACCGTCGCTGCCGCCGCCGCCTTCGGGGCCTGCGTTGTGGCCCGCGCATTCTCATTGTGCTGACGCTCCGCCGCTCCCGAGGCCGCCCGCGCCATCGACATCCGCCGTTCCACCGCCGCCCGCTGCTGCTGCGGCCGCCGGACCGTCGCCGCCGCCGCCGCCTTCGGGGCCCGCGAAGTGGCCCGCACCTTCTCATTGTGCTGCCGCTCCGCCGCTCCCGAGGCCGCCCGCGCCATCGACATCCGCCGTTCCACCGCCGCCCGCTGCTGCTGCGGCCGCCGGACCGTCGCCGCCGCCGCCGCCTTCGGGGCCCGCGAAGTGGCCCGCACCTTCTCATTGTGCTGCCGCTCCGCCGCTCCCGAGGCCGCCCGCGCCATCGACATCCGCCGTTCCACCGCCGCCCGCTGCTGCTGCGGCCGCCGGACCGTCGCCGCCGCCGCCGCCTTCGGGGCCCGCGAAGTGGCCCGCACCTTCTCATTGTGCTGCCGCTCCGCCGCTCCCGAGGCCGCCCGCGCCATCGATATCCGCCGTCTCAAGGCCGCACGCTGCTGCTACCGCCGCCGGACCATCGCTGCCGCCGCCGCCTTCGGGGCCCGCGAAGTGGCCCGCACCTTCTCATTGTGCTGCCGCTCCGCCGCTCCCGAGGCCGCCCGCGCCATCGATATCCGCTTTTCCACCGCCGCCATTTGATGGTGCCGCCACCGGACCGTCGCTGTCGCCGCCGCCGTCGGGCACCGCGTTGTGGCCCGCGCCTTCACCAGGTGCTGCCGGTCCGGAGCTCCCGAGGCAGCCCGCGCCATCGATATCCGCCGTCTCAAGGCCGCACGCTGCTGCTACCGCCGCCGGACCATCGCTGCCGCCGCCGCCTTCGGAGCTTGCGTTGTGGCCCGCACCTTCACCTTGTGCTGCCGCTCCGCCGCTCCCGAGGCCGCCGGCGTCATCGACATCGGCCGTCTCACGGCTGCCCGCTGCTGCTACCGCCGCCGGACCGTCGCTCGCGCCGCCGCCTTCGGGGCCCGCGTTGTGACCCGCGCCTTCGCCTGGTGCTGCCGCTCCCCCGCTCCCGAGGCAGCCCGCGCCATCGACATCCGCCGTCTCACCGCCGCACACTGCTCCGACCGCCGCCGGACCATCGCTGCCGCCGCCGCCTTCGGAGCTTGCGTTGTTGCCCGCACCTTCGCCTGGTGCTGCCGCTCCGCCGCTCCCGAGGCCGCCCGCGCCATCGACATCCGTCGCTCCACCGCCGCCCGCTGCCGCTGCCGCCGCCGGACCGTCGCCGTCGCCGCCGCCTCCGGGGCCCGCGTTGTGGCCCGCGCCTTCGCCTGGTGCTGCCGCTCCGCCGCTCCCGAGGCCGCCCGCGCCATCGACATCCGCCGTTCCACCGCCGCACGCTGCTGCTACCGCCGCCGGACCGTCGCTGCCGCCGCCGCCTTCGGGGCCCGCGTTGTGGCCCGCACCTTCACCTGGTGCTGCCGCTCCGCCGCTCACGAGGCCGCCCACGTCATCGACATCCGCCGTCTCACGGCCACCCCCTGCTGCTACAGCCGCCGGACCATCGCTGCCGCCGCCGCCGCCCTCGGGGCCCGCGTTGTGGCCCGCACCTTCGCCTGGTGCTGCCGCTCCGCCGCTCCCGAGGCCGCCCGCGCCATCGACATCCGCCGTCTCACGGCCACCCGCTGGTGCTGCAGCCGTCGGACCGTCGTCGCCGCCGCCGCCGCCGTCGGGGCCCGCGTTGTGGCCCGCACCTTCGCCTGGTGCTGCCGCTCCGCCGCTCCCGAGGCCGCCCGCGCCATCGACATCCGCCGTCTCACGGCCACCCCCTGCTGCTACAGCCGCCGGACCATCGCTGCCGCCGCCGCCGCCCTCGGGGCCTGCGTTGTGGCCCGCGCATTCTCTATGTGCTGACACTCCGCCGCTCCCGAGGCCGCCCGCGCCATCGACATCCGCCGTTCCACCGCCGCCCGCTGATGCTGCCACTACGGGACCGTCGCTGCCGCCGCCGCCTTCGGGGACCGCGTTGTGGCCCGCACCTTCGCCAGGTGTTGCCGCGCAGCCGCTCCAGAGGCAGCCCGCGTCATCGGCATCCGCCGTCTCACGGCCGCAAGCTGCTGCTGCCGCCGCCGAACCATCGCTGCCGCCGCCGACTTCGGAGCCCGCGTTGTGGCCCGCACCTTCACCTGGTGCTGCCGCGCCGCCGCTCCCGAGGCCGCCCGCGTCATCGACATCAGCCGTCTCACGGCCACCCGCTGGTGCTGCAGCCGCCGAACCGTCGTCGCCGCCGCCGCCGCCGTCGGGGCCCGCGTTGTGGCCCGCACCTTCACCTGGTGCTGCCGCGCCGCCGCTCCCGAGGCCGCCCGCGCCATCGACATTGGCCGTCTTACGTCCGCCTGCTGCTGTTACCGCCGCGGGACCATCGCTGCCGCCGCAGCCTTCGGAGCCTGCGTTGTGGCCGGCACGTTCACCTGGTGCTGCCGCTCCGCCGGTCCCGAGGCCGCCCGCGCCATCGACATCCGCCGTTCCACCGCCGCCCGCTGATGCTACCACCGCCAGACCGTCGCTGTCGCCGCCGCCTTCGGGGACCGCGTTGTGGCCCGCCTCTTCGCCAGGTGCTGCCGGTCCGGAGCTCCCGAGGCCGCCGGCGTCATCGATATCCGCTTTTCCACCGCCGCCCGCTGATGCTGCCACCGCCAGACCGTCGCTGTCGCCGCCGCCTTCGGGGACCGCGTTGTGGCCCGCCTCTTCGCCAGGTGCTGCCGGTCCGGAGCTCCCGAGGCCGCCGGCGTCATCGATATCCGCTTTTCCACCGCCGCCCGCTGATGCTGCCACCGCCAGACCGTCGCTGTCGCCGCCACCTTCGGGCACCGCGTTGTGGGCCGCGCTTTCGCCAGGTGCTGCCGGTCCGGACCTCCCGAGGCCGCCGGCGTCATCGATATCCGCTTTTTCACCGCCGCCCGCTGATGCTGCCACCGCCAGACCGTCGCTGTCGTCGCCGCCTTCGAGGCCCGCGTTGTGGCCCGCGCCCTCGCCAGGTGCTGCCGGTCCGGAGCTCCCGAGGCCG